ATATATATATATATATATATATATATATATCTGAAGATGATGACTCAACTCATCTACCAGCTCAGTGATGGACAAAAGAATCATCCTATTGATAAAAATTTTGGTGATCCAAATGCAGGTATTCAGACTCGACATGGTCTAGGTAATATATGTATTTTTTTCAAATTTATTTCTGTTCTAGAGCCCAAGAAAATCAATGAAGCCATCAGTGACCCAATCCAGGTCAGTGTATTGGAAGAAGAACTCACTAAGTTCGAAATAAACAAGGTATGGTACATTGTCACTCGTCCATCCAACAAAAGTATTATAGGCACCAAGTGTGTGTATCGAAACAAGTTGGATGAACATGGAACTGTAACCCGAAACAAGGCTAGATTGTTGCTCAGGGATACAGACAAGAAGAAAGCATATACTATGATGAAACCTTTACTCCAATGGCTAGACTCCAAGCAATTCAACTATTCTTAGTGTATGTTGCACACAAGGGCATTAAAATCTATCAGGTGGATGTAAAAAGTGCATTCTTGAATGGAATACTTCATGAATAAGTATATATCGAACAACCTCCAGGGTTCCTTGAACCCAAGTATCCAGGTCATGTGTATTGACTGGATAAAGCTCTTTATGGGTTAAAACAGGCCCCTCGTGACTAGTATGACACCCTTTCTTTGTTTCTCATCACTGAGAAAGTTAAACTTGGAAATATTGATCAACCCTATTTTTTAGAAAATTAAGGGTCGGTTCATTCTTGTTCAAATATATGTCAATGACATTATATTTGGATCCTTGAGTCCCTCTTTATGTGCTCGAATCTCTGAACGCATGAAGACAGAATATAAGATTAATATGATGGGTGAACTAATGTATTTTCTTGCTCTTCAGATTAAGTAATCTGAAAAAGGAATATTCATTAGCCAAAGTAAGTATGTTAACAATATGCTGAAGAAATTCGATTTAACCCAAAGCTCAGTTGTTAGTCCACAAAATGATCAATCTTCAAATATCTTCATGAATTCAATGGCAGATTCATATGAACATTCAAAAACACTTTGAGATGAGTTGAGAGAAAAAGTCAAACACAGTCAAAGTATATTAAATCTCTCAAATGAATGTAATACAACAATTGAGCTCTTCTCATCTAAAACACTACAAGACAAAGCTTTATATAGGGTCAAACAATAAACCCTTCTAGTCAAAGTCAAACATGCTAACAATATTATTATAGACAATTATAGACTTTCAAAACGAATACAATTTAACACTAAAATTCAGTCCTAACATTAGTTATGAAGACTCCCATGGCACCTCCCTTAACGCTGAACAAGGACCCAAAAGGGAAACCTGTAAATGTAAAAATTATTGCCTATAGGGGAATGATCGGCTCCTTGTTGTATCTGATAGCTAGCAGACCTGATATCATGTATTCTACTTGCTTATGTGCATGATATCAAGTTAAACCCAAAAAATCTCATATGATCGCTATAAAGCAAATATTCATATATCTTAAGGGTACACCCGATCTGGGTCTTTGGTGTCCCAAAGACTCAGGGTTCGATCTAATCCGATATTCAGATACTGGTTTTTCAGAATGCAAGATAGATAGGAAGAGCACTATTGAAGGTTGCCAACTTCTTGGAGGCAAGTTGGTAAGTCGGACAAGCAAGAAACAAAACTCAATGTTCACATCAACGCAGAAGCTGAATATGTAGCCCTTGGAAGCTGTTGTGCTCAAATCCTATGGATGAAAAATCAACTCAGCTACTATGAAATTCATCTATCAAAAATCCCAATTTATTATGATATCTCAAGTGCTATTGCAATAGCAAACAATCATCTACTTCCAAAGACCATACAAATTGAGATCAGATATCAAGTTATCAAGAGATCATGTCATGAATGGTCATATTGAACTTAATTTTATACTTACTGAGTACCAACTAGCTGATCTTTTTAAAAAAAAACCTTGATGAAACAAGGTTTAATATTTTAATCAGCAAACTTGGAATGTTAAACGTTGAGGATTAATATTCTTAGTGATAAGCATTAATCGGTATTATATGTGAAATGTTTTTAAATGTTTCTCAATTTTTCCCTAAACTCCCCTAAAATGTATCTTTTCTCCTAAGTTACATCTCTCTCTAAGTGATTCTTTTTCTAAGAATGCTTAAAATTATCACTGAACATTTTTCTTATTTAGTGAACAAAACGTGTTAAAAGATCAAAAGTTTATGAACGATCATATTTTTATGACGTCATTAAAATATTTTTGAATAAAGGACAGTTGTCTCGTGCGTCTCTGACACACGATTTCCATTGCCATTCCCATCCAATCAAAATCTCATGACGTGTTAAAATCATGATGGTAAATCTTTTCAAGAACCGTCATTTCTCTCTCTCCTCTTTTTCTCTCATCTCACCTATTAATATCACTCACATTCATCCTTTCAATCTTTATGCTCTCATACCTTCTTAAAACTCTCTCACTCTAAAAAGGTAAGAAAAGTCAACACACCAAGAACATGCACATGCTTTCTTTTCATGTTCTTCAATCAGAAAAGGTTTGTTATTACATATTTTGGTTGTTTCTTCTAAAAAAACTTGTTTGAATTTTCATCTTCTTAAAAATACAAACAAAACAGGTTGTAAAAACCATTCTTCTTCTTGGTTTAAAGTTTATAGAACCTTGTTTCTTAACCAAAAACCAGTCTTATACCAGTTCTTTTGGTGTTTGTTTTTCTTCTCTCTTAAAACTCGCGTTTTTGGTACATTTTGTATCAAAAACTATTGTTTCTTTGTTTTCTTACCTTCTTTCTTTCTTGAAACTTTTTTAATACCAAAAATGGCCGATGTATCTAATGTCCAGCTTGACCTCAAAGAGTGCACAATCAAGCCTAACAACCATCTTGCACTCCTAGAAATTCCGAGCAACAAATCACACATCAAGGAGGTTGATCATTTCTGAAGAACTTCGTGATTGCCTATGCTCTCCACTTCGAGGCCATCGCCATCAAGGAATACCTGACCAAATTCTGGTATACGTCTCAAGTAGTTCGATCGAGCAACTACAAACGAAAGGAGATCACCAGAATCTCCTTCAAAATTGATGATCTCTCTTCCATCTTTGGACCAGTGACGCTTCGCTTAGCTCTACAGTTCCTAAAATATGAACCTTACGTTGTTGAACCTTCGTTTGAAGAAATAGTGGAGTTCTTGGATGCCATCCACTATAACTGGCCAACAAAGAAAGAGTCCATTGAACCCAACAAATCTTTGTCCAATGTGGAAAAGAACAAGATGTTAACAATCTAAAGCTATCTCTCCTCTCACTTAATTCAGAGTATGGGTGGAAAGACTGGTGGCCAGGACCTGGGCAAGCAAAGTAGCCCTACATATTGGCTACTCCATGCTATACAAAGAAATCTAGATTATGCTCAGTTGATATTTGATGACCTCGTCATCAAGATCAACAAAAAAACAAAGGGAAAAAGTCATTCCTTACGCACGATTTCTTAGTGGGGTCCTCGCAAGGATCTTCAAGGAGAAATACCCCACTAAAGGGAACGTATCGCTGTCCAAGTTGGGTCAGAAAATCCTTAACCACATGGTCAAGGAGACAGGCATTGGTCTATTCTCAAGTATGTTTCCTTCTTCCTCTTCCAAATATAAAACTTCTTTGCATTCTGAAACTAATTCACTGATTTCACCTTCAGTGATACCCCAAAGTTTCATGCCCTTCTTTATAGAGACCATTTGAAGCCTCTTTTAGTCCTTCAAGAAAGGATAAGAAAGCCAAAAGGGTGAAGGCCACAACTCTGAGTGGAACTCTCAACAGGTTACCCTCATTGAAGTTGGTCTAAGCACCCAGACACCGACAACAACCTCCACCAACTCTTCTGCAACAACTTCTTCACCTGCAGTCGTACAATTAGATGCCTCCACATCAACCACCTCAGAGACACAATTCACTGAGAGTGCGATTTAGGGCTCGTCCATAGCCTTGTTGCTGTATAGGATCACTGCTTCTCTGCTATCAACAATTGCTTCCTCTTCTCCCTCATTGGTCTCTACTACACGCGTTGATGAGGCACCAATGGTTGTCCCCACTAGTGTTGAAGCCATAATGGGCATAGGACTTGAGGATGATACTCATGAGCAATCTCGGTAAACAAATGTTGATCCTTATGATAGCACTGACGACAGTCTCAGAGTTGATCCTTTGGACAACTTTAAAGGACCCTTAGGTAATTAATCTTTACCCACTTCTTCTTTCATTTATAACCATGAGCTCCTCAAAGCTCCATATTTTACTCTTGTATCTAATATTTCAAGTCCTTTTTTGGAGGAATCCTCAGCCAGTGATTACGATATGGCTGAGGATGTAAAGTTAATGTTGCCAGCCTTGGATACAGTTCTCACCAACGTCAAGACAATAACATCCAGGGTTGATGACTTACATGCCTCCATGTTCTCGACAAAAGGTCGAACTCTCCTCAATCAACGTTGAAGTCATAAATATGAGATATGAGGCTGCTAAAAACTCCAAAGTTGTTGCCTCTCTTCACCAAACCTTCCGATAGCATGGGGAGGAGGTGAACTTGAAGCTAGAACAACACACATATATGCTCCAACGGATTCTTTTGGTCGTCTAAAGCCTGCTTGCTCCAACTCCTTCTTTCCAAAAAGTTGATCGTCAAATGCTGGAGATGGTGACTGACTACACCAAAAGGTAGACATAGTCCTTCAGCAAGTTGGAGGCTGAAGTTTAACGACTACACCAAAAGGCGCCTCTCCCTCAATCTGATGCTCACAAAAGGGGGAAGTGATATGAGAACAAGAAGAGGTTGAATCTGAGAAATTAATAGCCGATGTTGAATGGCTCCTCAATGATGCTGAAATCCATCTGTCTACTTCAGTTTCCCATCTCGCTTAAGATGAGGATGAAGATGATGACGATGATAACGAGGACGATGTTGTCATCATCAAAAATAAATATGATGATGATGATGACGATGGTGATGAGGACGACTTCTGCATCCAACATACACCTACCTTTTCAACCATTGACGGTATCTCCATCTCGGAGCCATCATGGAAGGGGGAGACTTAGCAACAATAGTCTTCCTCTAAAGAAAACGAGAAAGCACAAGATGATGAGGTAAGTCTTAATTCTCCAAACTCTAAAGATCCATCACCTTTACCTCTAGTATGCATCTCTGAAACCATTCTTTTTTCTTCACCCAACAAAGAGCATACCTTTCCCTCTTCCATCACAAATGTTACTATAATTATTCCTTCGTCTCTTCACCTACCCCTCTTTCTCTCTCCATGTGATTCCTCACAAGCAGTAATGGATCCCTCATCTGAAGTTGATGATCATCTTCCATGGTTTGTCATGGATAAATCTGATGCTGAAAAAGATGAAGATGTTGATCTAATTCCAATATCCTCTAGCTTTCACCTTGTTACATCCGAAGATGAAGATGTTGATCTAGGATGATTCATATTTAGAGTTGCATCAAGGAGTTGAACTCTACCAGAGTAAAAATTCCTCTTTATACCTTTGGGGATTCAGTTTCCTCTCTGAGGACAAAAAGCAAGAAGCAATCCAGGCTCAAAAAGAGCTGGAGAGGCAACAACAACGGATGAAGGAAATTTTAGATCTTGCAAGGAGCCAAGCTATCGATACCTTAGCTGAAGAGAGAGTCACAAGAATCAATCCAATTGATGCTCAAGTGATTACGTTCAGAAAAGATGAAGAGGATAAAGCTAAAAAGAACTCACAAATGGAGAAAGAAGGTGGTATAGAGTGAAGATTGAGCTTCGTCTGAATGCTCATAAAATAACTGATGTAACAATCAGTGGAAAGAAGAAATACGGGAATGTGTTAGCTACCACTACCATCTTCAAGGATGATGGTAACTGGATAATTGATTGTCCATATTTCTTTTACAAATATGGTTTTCATGAATGGTTGGAAAAAAGACAAGCCATACAAAAGTCCAAGTCCAAATATAGAGATATGTTGAGAGTGAGCTGAACAAACTCTTTGATAGAGTTTCCCAAAGTTGTATTCATCCCTCCCCTGCAACAAAGGACTTCGAGAAGAAAAATGAACATGAAACAAAGTTCTCAACAGACTTGATCTTCAACATGTCCAAATACCCTGATACGTCTATATTGAATCTAACCTTCCTTCTACAGGTCCTTACTTCCTAGGGAGCGTAATCTTCAAGTCCAAGATCAGAATCTATTTCATTAACACTGACAGAGAACTGGAGGTCCAAAGATGCTTTAAACTAACCATTCCACCACTAGATCATCTTCTCTTTTTCATGACATACTATGAAGATGGCATGCTTGGAAGACTAATCGAAAGAAGAATAAGGAAGGACCCGCTCAGAAGAAGAAACGAATGAGCTGAAATTCCCTCTTATATAGATTCCTCAGATATATAGATCTTTTCTAATCAGTCCTTCAGTTTTGATAATTCATCATTCTTTGTAAACTTTATTCGTATTGTAATCCTTCAATATTATCTTAAATGAAATTTTAAATGAACTATTCCATCAAAATCTAATAAAGATCCCTAAAAACAGGAACTGGGACAAAAGCAACTATGAAGTCTATATTTTCCTTTCCGTTCATTGATTTTCCTCTAAATTACTTATCAGTTAACATGATTTTAATAATAGAATTTCTTAGATGTTTATCTATTTTTCTTGTAATCTCTTCTTACAACTTAAATAATTCAACCAACCACTTCCAACATTGAATAAGATCCCAAAAAAGACAGTAAAAGGGACCTGTACCTTACAAGTTCTTTTTCCACATTGAAACACACATCAATTTTCTTTTATGTTGCTTTGTCATCAACAAATATGGGGATATTATTGATCCAACTTCTCTCAGTGATTTGATGATGACCCTCTATACTTAGTGAAATATGTTTGTTCTACTTTGTTCAGTTTTAACGATCATCTCTGAGTCTATTCAATGATCGTTGAACATGTATTGTAAACTTCTCAAAGAACAAGTATTTCTCAAATACAAAACTCACACCAAATGAACCTTCAATAATTTCAAAGAAGTAGCTAAAGACAAAGACATAACAATTCATGATCTGAAGTGGATTCAATGATAATGAGAATGTCTAAATCAAAGTGTGAAATTTGATCAAGACTCAGCAAACACTAAAGAATATTTAGAGATGAATTAATGTCGGCGATCAAATGAATCTTGCTCCATAAGATTAGCTTTTGTCTTATCCTCATGCACAAAAAGAACAACCATATACCTCACACAGAAAAGTACACATACGGTGTTACTTTATTGTCTTCAAACATGCTTACCAACTTTGTGAAAGATGATTATTCAGATGCAGCCAGAAGTCTTCATATATGAAGACAAAGGACAAGCTCTCCACTAAAAGTTTGCCACGTGGCTTGTACCCTCTAACTTGCATTAAATGCATGGATATAAACAGCTAAAAAGACTCTTCTTCTCAGTAAGCACCTTCTTCTCCTTCTAACTCCCTTCTTTCTTGTTCTTATATCCTTCTGCGTGAACTGTGTGTTTTTTAGATTGTTTATATTAGGTCTTAACCTTATCTTCTTCCCCAGCAATCTATAAATTCTATATTGATATTCTTTTATCAATAAATCAATTTATAAAGTGAAAATTGTGTGTTTGTATTCACCCCCCCCCCCCTTCTATAAATTGTTACCTTTAAAACTCTTGTAGATCCATTTGGAACCAACAAAGATGGACTACGACATCAAAGAAGAAGGCATGGTAATAGAAGACAAAATCAAAGGGTTGGCGGGGGATTTAGCAATATAAAAATGAAAATTCCACAATTTCAAGGAAAAAGTGGTCCATAAGTGTATTTGGAATTGGAAAAAAAAAAGGTTGAACTCATATTTGATTGCAAAAACTATTCTAAGGATAAAAAGATAAAACTAGCTTCCACTGAATTCACGGAATATGCAATAGTATGGTGGGATCAATGGGTGATAAATTGAATGAGATATGGTGAGAGACCAATTTCTACTCTGGATGAAATGAAAGCGGTTATGTGCAAAAGGTTTGTTCCTTCTTATTATTTTGAAGACGTATATTGAAAAATGCAATCTTTGAATCAGGGAACAAAATCTTTGGAGAGACTATTACAAGGAGATGGAGAGTGCTATGATTCAAGCAAATGTTGAAATAGATAGGGAGGCAACCATGGCAAGATTTTTGAGTGGCCTAAATCGTGAAATAGCCAATGTGGTAGAACTACAATATTGCATGGAACTTGAGGATATGGTGCACATGACCAAGAAAGTTGAGAGGCAACTAAAGATGAGAAATACATTTTTAAGAGGGCAAACATCTAATTTTCCAGCCTTTGAGTAAGCTTAATGGGGGGGGGGAATCCAAGGCTTCAAATTCTTCTTCTTCAAAATCACAAAATGAATCCCTCAAAGGCGCAAAAGTGGACAAGGATAAAGGTATTGGTTCTACTCGTACTAAATCTCATGATATTAAGTGTTTCCACTGTTTAGTTTTGGGTCATATTGCATCACAATATCCAATAGAAAATCCATGATTCTTCATGAACGTGATGAGGTGGAATCTGAAACTGAAAAGAATGATTCCTTGGATGAGGAAGACGACATGGAGAAAATTGAGGCAGAAAATGGTGAATTATTGGTGGTAAAAAAAAAGCTTTGAACTTGCAAGTGAAGGTGGATGATAAACAACACCAAAACATATTTCATACACGATGTTTGATGCAAAACAAGTTATGTACATTAATAATCGATTGTGGGAGTTGTGCGAATGTCATAAGTACTAAAGTGGTTAAGAAGTTGAATTTGCACAGTTTAAAGCATCCACAGCCATATAAATTTCAATGGGTAAATGAGTGTGGGGAAATGAAATTCACCAAACGGGTATTTGATCTTCTTTTCCATTGGTCAATACAAGGATGATGTGATGTGCAATGTTGTTCCAATGCATGTTAGTTATATACCATTAGGGAGGCCATGGCAATTTGACCAAAGAGTTATCTATAATGTTTCTCATAATCATTATACTTTCAAGCATTATGACAAGAAAGTAGTTCTTGTATCATTATCTCCACCAAAAGTTCATGAGGATCAAATTAAAATGATCACTACAAGGCAAACGAGAGAGGCTGAAAAGAAAAATAATGAGAGGGGTAGATCGAGATAAAAACAAAGTGATGATAAAAAAAATAGTGATGAAAATGGGGAAAATAAAAGAGAGATAACCAAGTTGATTTTTTTTTTGCCAAATCGAGTGATAGTCAAGAGGGTGGTAGTTGAAAATAATAGAGTGATGGTTTTGATTTTCAAGGAGGCTTGTTTAAGTACTAATGAGCCCAAAATCTTCCAAGTTTTATTGTGAATCTTTTACAGGAATATGATGACGTCTTTCCGAAGGAAGAGCCAAGTGGATTATCACTTCTACGTGGAATAAGGCATCAAATTGATTTCATTCTAGGGGCTACTCTTCCAAATCATCCAGCTTATAGAGATAATCTCGAGGAGACAAAAGAGATATAAAGACAAGCGGTGGACTTATTGTCAAGAGGAAGGATTCGAGAATCCATGAGTCCTTGTGTTGGTCTCGTTATAGTGGTGCCTAAAAAGACTGGTGTGTGGAGAATGTGCACCGATTGTAGAGCCATCAACCAAATAACGACAAATTATCCCTATTCTATTCCTAGGGTAGATGATGTGTTAGATGAGTTGCATGGGGCTATGATTTTTTCAAAAATTGATCTTAAAAGTGGGTATCATCATATTAGAATAAGGGAGGGTGACGAGTGGAAAACTGCATTCTAAACAAAATCTAGATTGTATGAGTAGTTAGTTATGCCTTTTGGGTTAACTAATGCGTCTAGTACATTCATGAGATTGAAGAATCATGTGTTGCGTGACTTTATTGGTAAATTTGTTGTTGTTTAATTTGATGACATCTTGATTTATAGTAAAAACATGGGAGATCACATGATGCATTTACGTGTTGGTTTGGACACCTTGAGGAATGAATTATTGTATGCTAACTTAAAAAAGTGCACATTTTACATGGCTAAAGTTGTTTTTATAGGATTTGTTGTAACTGCCAAGGGAATTGAGGTGGATCTTGAGAAGGTCAACGCAATCCAAGAATGGCTTATGCCAACGACTGTTTCGGATGTAAGAATATTTCATGGGCTTGCTAGCTTCTACCGAAGGTTTGTTCATGACTTTAGCACCATAATCGCCCTACTCAATGAATTTGTGAAGAAAGAGGTAATTTTTCATTGGAGAGAAAAGCAAAAAGCTGCCTTTGAATATTGAAGGAAAAGTTGGCCTCTTCTCCTATTTTTGCATTACCAAATTTTGATAAAAGGTTTGAACTTGAGTGACACATGCAGGTGGGTAATGGGGATGTTTTAATTCAAGAAAGTCTTCCCATTGCATATTTTAGTGAAAAATAAAAAAGGGCACAATTAAATTATTCAGCATCTGATAAAGAGCTTTATGTTTGTCAAGGTCTATACAAGCATGGTAACATTATTTGAGACCAAAATAGTTTGTGATTCATACGGATCATGAATCTCTTAAGTATCTCAAGGGTCAAGTTAAGCTAGGTAGAAGGCATATCAAGTGGGTTGAGTTTATTGAGTCATTTCCTTACGTGATTAAATACAAAAAAAGGAAAAGAAAACATTGTGGTCGATGCGTTGTCAAGACGTCATAGTCTCATCACCACTTTAAAATCTAAACATCTTGGATTTGAATCAATAAAGGAAATG